CCACGGCGCCGCCCCGGCCCGGCGCCCAATGGCGCGCCGCCCCCGCCCCTCCCGCCGCGTCTCCGCCGCCGCCGCCGACCCGGCCGTGTCAAAACCCCGGCAAACAGAAAATCACTGTGTATAGAAAAGTTAATTTGAAACGATACAGGCGGCTGCTCGCCGCTGCTCCGCGCCGCTCCCGTGCTCCTCGCGCGCGCCCCGCTCCGCCGCGGAGGTCATCCTGCAGTGCGTCCTGCCGGACGGACGGCGTGGCCGGCGCGCCGGCGGCCAATCACAGCGTTAATTGATCCAATCAGTGCCGCAAGCCCGCGCGAGTGTATGTGTGCGCGTGTGTGAAGCGCAGTGCTCTCCGTGCCGATGAAGTGCAGCGTCGTCCTCGCCACGACGCCGACCTCGACGGGGCGGTGGGCGGCGGCGGCCGGCGCGCGCCCGCCCCCGGCCCGCGGCTCGGCGGCGCAGCCCGCGCAGCCCGCGCAGCCCGCGCAGTCGTCGTGACGCGTCGCGAGTGTGTGACCTGCTCGTCGGCGCCCTCGCGCTCCGGCGGCGTCCTCCTTCCGGACTGCGCCGCACGCCGCCACGCCCCTCCACGCCGCCAAGCTGAAGTGCGCCGAAGGAGACGGTCTGCAGCCCGAGTGGCTGTCCATCACCTCCGGCTCGTCGCTCGCGCTCGCCTCGCTCACCACCACGACGCCGACGTCCACCGCCTCGCCGACGCTCTCCTCGTCGTCCACGTCGTCCAACACCTCGTCCACGCCTGGGCCGCCCCCAGCCTGCCCCTCTGGCCCCGTCGGCGGGGGGGCCCTCCTTGGCCTCGGGCCGTGCGGCCCCTGCGGCCCCGGCGGCCGCCTGTACCCCGACCAGCACTACCAGCTCCAGGGCCACGGGGGCGGCCACGGCGGCGGCCACGGGGGCGGCCCCGGCGGCGGGCAGCACGTGGAGTACGCCGGCCAGCACGGCCTGCAGGACCCCTGGCTCGCCCTGCGCTCCTCGGCCGCGCTCCCCGGCGGCATGCTCAACAACCTCGGGTCGTCGGCGGGAATCGTCCTCGGAGGTACGTCTTCTCAATGAGATTCCGTTTTTATTTCATTACCTCGGTGAATGTGTGCTGTAGACTCAGTCAAGATATTTAGTTCGGCCAGAACTTGTTGGGTATGGTGAGGGGCTGGCGAAAGGGGTGGGTTGGGAAGGGGGGAGGGGGAGTAGTGCCTTGTGATTGATTAGTGCATGTAATTATTGTGCTTCCATATTTGTAGAAGTGGATTTCGAGTTGTCTTGTGCGGCACAAATAGCTAAGTTTAATGGGGATTTTTTTCTGCTATGGACTGGTACATTATAATGTACATTTTTATACGAAAATGTGTTGTTTGACATGACATTTTTTTTTGCACGTGTTAATTCCTTCTTTAAATTTTGGGGAGTAAGAAATCAACTCTCTCCGTAAACAGCGAAGTGAGAGAGAAACTACGTTCACCCCGCAACCTTATTTGAATATCTACGCGCTTTAAGTGAAAGTTGGGATTAAAAGCAAGACTTCTGTCGGAATCCCCGCGACTACTCTTGAGTTGCGCCCATTATACAGCTCAAGGTGGTGTGTTGCTGAAATTCAATCTAGGGTTGCCATTAAAGCCTGCCAGAATGAGTCTGTTTATGAAACTTAATTTCAAATCTAATTGCAGTTTTATGAAACAGTTGCATCAAGTTTTTTTTTTAATCAAAATTGCGTTTTGTAAATTTAAAAACAAAATGTGTTGTGAATAAATTGGCATGCTAGTTTCTTTTCTCATGAGAAAAATACTTTCTTCTTTTGAAAAATCCACCTTTTACAGTGTAAACTATCTGGGACAGCTGTCATACAATTAACTCTTTATATATTCGAAGGAATAGTTTGTGATTTAAGGAAAACGTTGTTCTTATTAAACGAGGAGAGGGAGTAGGGGGAAGGGGGGAGGTTTGCCTTCTGGTAGAGATAATCTTGCGGAATGTCTAAAAATTATGTAGCTCGTAATATGAAGCCGTCTCTCGTATTATTATTAACTAAATTTTTTCGTAAGGAGGTTATTGTGTAGATGGTGTAAACGGAAGCGCCCCATATTAACTTTGACCACTGGCAAGTTAGAGTGAATAAATAAATACAGTGAAAAATCACTGCATTCAAATAATTGACCATCAATGGAACGGGTTTGTTTTCTTTCAAAAATGTGAAGGGTGATCGACGGCCCCCATGCACTGTTAAAGTCTTTTATTCTGTGAATTTCACCGTAAGTTACAGTGAACCGTGCAGCACTGTAGCTTACGGTGATTTTCACTTAAAGCTACGGTGAAATTCACCGTAAGCCTTTGAGAGTGTGTAATTATACTAATGCATGCGCGCAAGTGGGTGGGTTGCCTACCGTCACCAACCGTGGCGCCTTACGGCTCTTAGCGAGTAGGCAACCCATAGAAACGCTTGTATTCGGGAGATGGAGCCAGGGGTCCGCGTCATAGCCACCCTATTCGACTATTCGTGATGAGAGTGTGTTGACTGACCTGTCAGTTTACGTTTGCGTCGTCTGCAGGCTCTGCGGGCCCCAAGGACGTGTGCGACCTGAAGCAGCGGGGCGAGCTGTCCCTCAAGCCCTCGTCGGGGAGCCCCCAGGGCCCCGGCGGCGGCGGCCCCCAGGGCAGCCCGTTGGACCCGCACCGGCACATGTGCGACCCCCCCGGCGGCGGTCTGCACGGCGCCCCCCACGGCCACCAGCACGGCCACGCGCAGCCCCCGCCGCCCCCGGGGGACGACAAGCCGGGCAGCAAGCAGAAGCGGCACCGGACGCGCTTCACGCCCGCGCAGCTCAACGAGCTGGAGAGATGCTTCTCCAAGACGCACTACCCGGACATCTTCATGCGGGAGGAGATTGCCATGAGGATCGGGCTCACCGAGTCCAGAGTGCAGGTGAGTGCCGTCGGCCATCATTTTATATTTCTCATGACCTGCGACTGATTTCTGAGTATAGCTGAGTATAGCTTTCAGTAACTCTCTGATTACAAGCAAGTAATTTTTAGCGACATGAAAATGAATTATTGCGCTTTACTGATTGAAAAAGTTGCCAGCTGATCAAGGTTGTTGAGCTTCAGAAATGCTAACAAAGCATTCAAAAAATGAACAACGTAGGAATGGGCATTACATTTAAACATCCACCCGATTTGGAATGGAATATGCGTTGGATGGGCGGAAGGAAAATACGAATTATTTTGCTCCGTGTTGCTTGTTTGCCCCACCGCAGTGATGTAGAAAGCAGTTAGCAGAACAGAAAAAGGTAGCAGTTTGGACAAAAGTATCAGCTACCTGTGTGGGCCGTGCTGACGGAGGCGATAACTGGTCGCTGATTGAACTTTATTGCCGTCGTAATGAATGAGATGAACCGCCCTAACGATCTCTGCAGTCACACAAAATGCACTCACCCTCGTTTTCTCTCTTTCCCCCGACTGCACTGCCCGCATGCCCTGTCGCGCCCACCCCTTACCTTTATGTCCCTCTCACACTTGCGTAGGTTGTGTACCTTCCTCTTCCTCCATGCCCAAGGCCTCACCCTGCCTCTCAACCGCTTCCAGGAACGGGTTCCCTATACCTGTGTCCTGTTGTCTTTTATTTATTTTTATACTCTTGTTTAAAAAAAAACTGCCCTTTACCTTGTACGGACGCAGGAATAACTTCTCTTTCGACTCGCATATTGAATGGAAAGTCTCCCAAATCTAGTCCAAACGAGACAGTTGATTTTCCCATAATCGTTCAATTCTATCACGCTTTGTAAGCCACGTCACACATGCGACACATCAAGGCGTTCAGTACAGACGCACGCGCCGATCAGACGCAGCACGTAACTTGAAACAGTTTCGTGTCGGTTCATAGAGCTTTTTTCCCCTATCTATCGGTCCGGGCGAGCCGGGCGCTGGCGGCCAGGGCGGGCCTGGCGGGCCGGGCGGGTGGGCAAGCGGTGCGGGCCGGCTCCATGACCACCAGGTGCTAATTTCCTACACCAACAAAACTTTTCGTCAGCCAGCTGCCGCCACGCCACGCCACCGCCGTCTCGCTACGCCCCGCCACCGCGCACCGAGGAGCATGGAATGAAATCCCCGCTGGAAACTCGTTGAGCGGAAATTTTTTATGAGCTGTGGAAAAAGATTACCCAAATCTTTTTATTTGGACAGAAACGAACTGGGCTTTCATCCAAATCGGCTGAATATTTGCTTCTATGCAGACTTTTTAACTTTGGATGGGCGCGCGGCCCCCGCGACCCAATACTCCGGTTCTGCTCAAACCTAACCCCAAAATTGAAGCAGAAGCAGAAGCCATCCCTTCTCCATTTGGGGCCTTTAGCCCGGGGAGCGGGCCGAGGAGCCCGGCGCATTGCCTTTTCATTGGTCCCCAGGCGGCCCTGCTGGGCGGCCGGGGTGACGGCGCGAGGGCCAAGCTCTCCGATATCTTCCCCCTCCCCCCTCCCCCCTACGGCGACTCTAAAATTCGGAGGGTTGGTCCCGGTGAAAAACGACGTGCGCCGAGAATCGTCAGCGTTGGATTCACTGACGCATTATCACTGGGAAGACAGACTGACCGCAAGAGCAACGGGAGCTAGGGGAAGGGGAGGGGGCTGGTGGCGACCACGGCGGTACCTCTGGGAGCAGGGTGAGAGGGTGATCAGTCAGAGCGCCCATCAATCAGACTGCTCTATCTCTCTCTCTCCCCTTCTCTTCCTCTCTCTCCTCCCATCTCCCTCTCTCTCTCCCTTCCTCTTTCTTTCTCTCTCTGTCTCTTCCCTCCCCCCACATCTCCTGGCCTATTTATCACAGTCCTGGAGGCCTTCAGTGACCCTTGCTCTGCGCGAGGCTCTTTAGGACGAACACAACGTCAACGGCATAGATATTTTACTCCCCTCCCCCTCCGCTTGATTTTCATTTTGCTCCAGATTTTTACCCCTGCACTTTTACCGGACTTTTTTTTGTGTTGGGCCCTTCCCCCATTTTTGGGGGGGTACAGTACCCGCGGTGAAACGCCTTGATATTCGTATCTCTTCGCTCGCACAGCTCTGCATGACGACGACGTGCCCAGTGCGGCAACGCTGTGCGCGGGTAGCGGAATGGCGGGGCGTGGCGGGGCGCGCCTGGTGGATACGCCCCTGCGATGGGGGGTTGGGGG